ACACACACAAACACACGTCTTTTTGCTGGGCCGCGGCGGTTTGGGCGAATAGGCTGTTCAATTGAATGGAACAAAAAGCGTTGAATTTGAAGAATGTTTTTGTGTGAGTGCACTTGCTAAATGAAGGCGGATTGTATAAAATGGATCAAATAAAAAACTTTGTTCAATAACGAGCTGCAGTTTTATTACATCACGTGCTGACAGAGATGCAGTATAATAATGCCACGGGTCATCAATAAGGCAATGAATCTGGTCCTCCAATTTCAGTACATTATAGAAATCCGAAATTTACCTTAACATATTAGAAGATGCTGATAACGCGACTGAATTGATGCTTGAAGAATGTGCTTCCAGCAACCATGATTATCACCAGTTGGCGGTCAAAGTTTTCTATGCACAATTTGATTTGACGTGATCCCTATCCAATCACGTTAATGGATAAAAATTAAATTAAAACAAGCATGTACCAGCCTAAGCCATGTGCCGGGGCTCAGTTTAACCCCTGCAAATATGCAATAATATGCATAATCAGGGCCGGATTTACCTCTTTTCGTGACATAGGCAAAACAAATTTTTGGGCCCCCCTTCCCTATTAATATAATAAGCCTAATATTACCCCCCAAGCAAACAAAACTATTTCTTAATCAGTGGAAACCGTTACAGTGTTTTCTATCGCTTGCGTTCAGTCAATAAAAATCGAATGTAGTTCTTAATTTTGTAGTTGAATGCAGTTCAAGTCTGCTGTCCTGGAAAGCCTATGGTCACTGAGTTTACTCATATTTTGGACTCTTGGTTTTATTCAGCATGTTGATAAAGCTACACATGTACTTGGACATACTCTTGACTTGGTTATGTCATATGGGTTTCCCATTGATAATATTAATATTGAAGATGCTTCTTTCTCAGATCATAAGCCTATTGTTTTTAATGTCATATTATCAAGTTCTATACATGTTGCTAAAAATACAGGTGTTTATTCTCGTTGTATTAATTCTCTCACTGCAAATCACTTTTCTGATATGTATTAAACAAATGATGTTTCAACTGAAATCTTAGCTGCTGCTGAGCAATCTTCAAGCCCAGAAAATTTTATTTCTCTCTTTAACTCTTCTTGTTCAGATATTTTGGACTCTATAGCCCCTCTTAAATACAAATCCCCAAAATTTAAATCACAACCATGGTTAGATGATACCACCCGTTCACTTAGACAGATCTGTCGGAAAGCAGAGAGGAGATGGAAAAAATTTCTATCTTTAACTCTTCTTAAAGATAATATCTTAAATATCTTAGCGATATCTTAAAGATATTTTGGACTCTATAGCCCCTCTTAAATACAAATCCCCAAAATTTAAATCACAACCATGGTTAGATGATACCACCCGTTCACTTAGACAGATCTGTCGCGAAGAGGAGAGGAGATGGAAAAAAGATCATCTTACTGTCTCTTTCGAAATCTTTAGGAACTCCCTGGTGAACTTTCAGAAATCAGCTAGAAAGGCAAGAGCTCTCTGATATTATCAGTAAATATTCTCATACCCCAAAAATCTTGTTCAGTACTATAAATTCAATAATTAATTCCCGTACTTCCAATGAAGCAGAACCATCTGCTGACATATGTGAGAGATTTTTGAGGTTTTTCATTGAAAAGATTGATGGCATTCGATCCTCCCTTATTCCTTCTTACTCTAACACTCTGCTTTGAGGAACTTAGTGATGCAGGTGAAATCTACAACCTCGCCCCAGGATGTTGTTCCTTCTGATATCATTAAAGGTTCTTTTGATATAATTGGTTCTAGCATCCAAAAAATGATCAATTCCTGTTTAGTCTCTGGCACTGTTCCTGCATTTTTAAAGCATGCAGTTGTCCACCTGCTGCTTAAAAAGCCCAATGCTGATGTAAAATGTGTGAATAATTATCGTCCTATCTCAAAATTGCCTTTTCTTTCAAAAGTTATGGGAAAAGTTGTCCAATCACAGTTAATTCTGTTTTTAAATTCGACTCTGGTATTTGAACCATTTCAATCAGGTTTTGCAACCTATCATAGCACTGAAACGGCTTTGCTAAAAGTGATGAATGATTTGCTACTTGCGGTTGACTGTGGTGAAAATGCAGTTTTGATTTTATTGGATTTAAGTGCCGCTTTTGACACAGTTGATCACGACATCCTTTTGTCACGCCTTGAACATTGGGTAGGTATTAAGGATACAGTATTATCGTGGTTTAAGTCATATCTTAAATCCAGGACACTTTCAGTGGCTATCGGCCAGTTTTCCTCATCATCAGTTTCTCTCCCTTGTGGGGTTCCTCAAGGGTCCATTCTGGGGCCATTACTTTTTAATCTGTACATGCTTCCACTTGGTAATATAATTAGGAAATATAAAATCTCTTTTCATTTCTACGCTGATGATTCTCAGTTATACGTTCCTGCAATGTGGGGTTTGGTGTTTGGGTTTTGTTTCATGCTCATGTTTTCCATGTCTTTTATTTTGTAATTGTTTCATGGTCCCTGTTTGTGTCATGCTGCTCTTTTATATGTCCCACGGTCACGACTTAAGTTTAAAGGTGACAGAGCCTTTGCAGTAGCTGCTCCACGGTTATGGAATCAGTTGCCACTTGACATTAAGAGTGCTCCGTCCATTTCGGTTTTTAAGTCTAGACTTAAAACCCATCTTTATTCTATGGCCTTTCCTGATTTTTAATTTATGGATTAGTATTGTTATCTTGGATTTTAATTTGTATTTTAGTTTATACTTTATTGTATTTTATGATTGTTTTGTACAGCACTTTGGTCAGTGTAAGCTGAATTTAAATGTGCTCTATAAATAAAATGTACTTACTTAATTTGTTTGAGAACTGAGAAAGACCATTCCAATAGGCGCAGTGACGTGGCCACATAACCACTTCGGGAGTGCATTATTTCTCTAATAATTTTAACGGACTATGCAACCACCACTTCAAGACATTGTTCAGATGATTTTTTAAAGACATTTTTACATGTTTCTTTCCTGAAATCTTGTGTGTGTTGAACTAGCCAATTTTTACGCACCTCATCCCAAACCTTCCATTGCAAATTCCAAAATGTCATTTTAGAGCTAGTAACAGAGGCTTGAGCCATTGATATGCAGGCTAAAACTGTTATTAATGCAGTCTAATGCAGAAAGGCGGGGCATAGAGGAGAAACAATAATGTACAGTATGTGGAAAATAATGTGTTTTTTGAACCTTAAACCGCATAAACACATTTCATTACACCAAATACACAAAATAATGTTCTTTTTAGCAGCATCATATGACCCCTTTAAGTTGAACTGCTTCAAGAACCTCGGTAATGAGAAATGTCATGCGAAAATATTTTATTGATAAATTTGCGGGGCGGTCGCAGCTCTGTCAAAAAGTTTCTGTCCGCGTCTTCGTGTGTGTGCGCGAGTGCGTGTCTGTACTGTGTGTGCATCTGTGAGAGAGAACGGGAGAAAGAAAGCGTGATTTCCGTACATAAAAAAGGTTGAAGAGATTTATTTATTATTTCAGTCCATAGTAAGTCAGCAAGTAAAATCAGTGCTGTCGCATCTCTGTCAGATGTTTGCGCAGTGGGCTTTGTGTAAACCATCTTCTTTCACATTGTCACAAATCCGGTCTATAAACTTCCGTTCACTCACCACCAGAGGTCACCCGCTCTCCACATGGACTCTCACACTACACAGACTGTTACACATCCCCCTGGACTACATTTCCCATGCTCCTTTGCACTAATCACAAGCTCACCTGAAACCAATCACACACAGCTGCTACCAATAACACACACTATATAAATCAGTCTCACACCACCATTCAACGCTGAGTATTGTTTAGCACATATCTCTCTCATAGCGATAGCTGTTTTAAGGAGCCATTCCAAGTTTCTTAATCTAGTATAGCCTTGTTCTTAGTCTGTTTACCCGTGTCTTTATCCTTGCCTGTTATCTCGTTTTGTCTGATCTCTGCCTGCCCTGAAGTTTATAGCCTGTTTTGGAATTACCCTTTGCCTTGCTGTTTCGGACTGTGTTTGCACCTTGCCTGGACTCTAGCTCGTCTTGTGCATTCCCCATTTGCCTCGCCATCAGGATTACGTTCGCCGGAGATCGACCACGCCCATTTACTGGACTACTCTTGTGTCTTGCCCTCAATATACCCATTTGCCATTGTTTGACCCATGCCTGTTATGACCACGTCTCTGTATAATAAAAGCCTGCAGATGGATCCGCATGTCTCACGTCTCGTTTGCCTCGTTACTATATATATATATATATATATATATATTAGACAATAATGTGTTTTTAGGCTACTTCCTTTAAAACAGTGGTTTTCAACTCCGGTCCTGGGGACCCACTGCTCTGCACATTTTGTATGTCTCTCTTATCTGATACTGACACAATTCAGTTCACGGAGCTCCCTCCTAACCAGCTGATGTGCAGAGTAGTGGATCCCCAGGACAAGAGTTGAGATAGTCACATTTTCAAAATCCACATACAGTATACAGGATAAATGTGTACATTTAGAAGACTTTAAAACACTGGTTCCAAACAAAGAAGCCTTAATCTTTATATTTAATTTATACATACTTGTAAGTTTAAAGGAAGGTCATTTGCAAATACATGGAAATCATCTGAAGGTTAGTCTATCCATGTTATCTAAATATAGTACTAACCATTCTCTTAGCTTTTCTACCAGTGTGAGTATTAACTATAGTTTGCGTTCGACCTGGTCTAATTTACAATCGCGGTATGACACTCTAAATCGGATTTGTGCTTGCTGAACACTGACATACTGAGAGGTAATATCAGGGTGAGTGAATCATGCAGTTCTCCACACCCTTGACTCCTTCCCCTCCCCAACCATCCTCTCCAATCTATAGGCTACACTATTACTCAATCTTATTTTTAAGCGCTCCCAAACACAGAGAGGGGCTGTGTCACAGCGTGTAGGAGCAAGTGATTGAGAGGACTGCGACAGAAAGTTGATTTGCATCCATTTGCAAAAAAAGGAAGCAGGTGAAGTGAGGTAATTGGTCAGACACATGATTTACTGAGCGCGGGGATGTGAGCACTGACAGATTCGATGCGTAATTACTGTGAAACTTTAAAGAGGCGCGCGCTCGTGTTGCTTTTACGTCGATGAGGTGTAAACGTAAAGCTTGTGTGCATGAGTGAGACCTGGCGGCGCAGTTAATATATCTCTCTGAATAAAGATAAACACAAGCTTAGGAGGAACTTGCAGAACTTTTTGCCCTACTAAAGTAGGACAATGCCTGTTCGACGGGGACACGTTGCGCCTCAGAACACCTTCCTGGACACCATCATTCGCAAATTCGACGGTCAAAGTAAGTGTATGACTTTTGTTTGTTTGTGTTTTGTTAAATGAACGCTGAATACGTTGTTAACATGTTTATGATGATGGCGACGATGATGATTATTAGTATTCACAATTTTAATAATTTTATTATCGTTATCATTCGAATTTTATTATTTATTACAGTTATTTAGATATTATTGTTTTGTTTACACTGTCTTTGTCAAAGTGCCGCAATAGATGAATTGTTAAAGGTTTAACTCTTCGAAATGTTAACTTTTTACATTTTTATTTTATTTTATTTTTTTTTATTATTATTTGATAACTCGAGAGTCAAATCAAGCCAAGAAACTGGACATTGTAGATGTAACTTCAGGTGTGAAGTATGTGTGTTTTTTCTGTGACCTAACAACTGTGACTTTAATAATAACTACTTAATCATTTTAATTATTTAAAGTTATAAGTTTATCTTTCTTTTAACTGAGGTAAAACAGACATGCTTTTTGTTTTGGTTCTACATGAATGTGATTTATGAATGTCTTGCATCTCGTTTCATGCTTTACCTCAACAGATCGCAAATTCATCATAGCCAATGCTCGAGTTGAAAACTGCGCCATCATCTTCTGCAATGATGGATTTTGCGGCATGTGCGGCTACACGCGTGCAGAGGTCATGCAGAAGCCGTGTACCTGCAGCTTTCTGTATGGACCGCATACTGGACGACCTGCCATGTCCCAGATGGCCAAAGCCTTACTGGGCTCTGAAGAAAGAAAAGTGGAGATCTCCCTATACAGGAAAGATGGTAAGTTTCTAGGAGGTGTTTGTTATATTTGTGTATTTATACATTCATTTAGTAGGTGTCATTACAGTGACATTAAAAAAACAACAACAACTGGCCTAGCAGGATAATATGACAACAGGAAATAATTAGTGGCTTTGATCACAAGTTTATAAAAAAGCAATTTCATGCGTTTACTTTTATTTTATATATTTTTGTCAATGACTTGCAACCCTGCACTCATCGTATTTCATTGGACCCACTAATACTCATTCCCTGAACATTATGCTATTTCTTTTCTGCTGTATCCATCTATGTGACATTTGATGTGTCCCATGATGATTGATCTTGGAGTTTAGCCCCTCTTGTGGAAGTCTCTCTTACCATAGCATCCTTTTATTGTGGATACTCAACTGAAAGATGAGGATTACAGTACAAGTGCTATTCTAATTATGTCTATTTCTGTCCTCTCCTATTTAAAGATTGCATTTCTGGATGATGTATTGATTTCCAGGACAGCTGGGAGTTTGAGAATAGGAACAATAGTCATAGAAGACATAATTGCAAAGGACAATTTCTCACTATCCAGATCAATTCCCCTACCCAATTCCCAGTGCTATATGCTAGTAATCCAATTTGTTGCATAAGGGCGTCATTATATTGTGTCCTCTAGTGCTGCTCAGGACAGAGGACGATGCATACAGTGAGGATTTGAGTCTACAATGCTAACAAGTCAGCAACTCAACAACATCCATGATCAACCAGAGATGCTCCTATATGACTATTTTAAAGGCAAGAATAGGCTAACATGTTAACAGAGCAGATAAACATACACGTAAACCGTCCTATAGGGTTTAAGCAGCATATCCCCAGCACAGGGTATTTTTCCACTGATCTGGATGTTAGGAATACATCTCAGTGTGACCCTGTGTAACCTAACCACCCTAAATTTCTCAGGTGTGCTCAGACTACATTTAGTCCTTCCGAAATATGAGACCTCTCCGTTTTCGGACTTCCTTACACTGTCGTCTAAATTTCAGTACAGTATGTCACTGGTAACAAAGTTTAGGATATATGTGTACAATTGTGGTTATCTATTGACGTATGGGGGTCTGTGGGTATTGTGTCATTGTATCTTATGTCAAGTCCATCACCCTATGCCTACAACATTATCATTGGCCGGCATGTTCAGTATGTGTATCGGAATACAATAGCAATATAAATATAAGCTATTGTTGGTGTTCAGATGCCATATTCGAAAGTTTAGGCATGTTTTATGAAAGTGGTGTAAACTGCATTATGTAAAATCTGGATAGTTTCCAGTAGAGATGAGGTTGATGATGGTTACCAGAGCTTTATTGTAGTAGCTATTTTTCAGTCAGTTTTTTTTGAATGTATGCTGAAACTTATGGTTGTATTGACAGCATCTAATGTATGCTTAGCTGTAGTAATGTGAAAACTTTTTAAATTATATTATAAATATATTTGTATAGTTACATTTTTAGTAGTTTTGAGTCCCTAAATCTACTTATTCAAAATGTAATAGGCAGGTAAGTTCAGTGAAAGTCACATTTAGTTAAAATGTAGTACTATATCGATTTTTTTTCAAAGTTAAATTATGGCCTTTTTCTCACATAGAGCTAACTGACTTTTTTAATTGACATTATTTGTGGAATATAATCCAGTAATAGAATGAATTACATTTATGATCATTTTATGGTGTATATAAGTCTATTACTTTTACCTCATGGCAAACAAAATAAAAATTTAAAAGATTAAGGAATTATTAAATCTTGACAGAATAGTCATTAAAGATTTTAGACTAAGTTTAGACTCGTATAAAGTGCATCCAGTGTAAAGTGATGGAATCCTAAACAAGTTGAATACGGCACCAGAAATCACACAGACCAGAATGAAATTCAAACAGGTAAATGTGTTAAATAAATGTGATGTCATTGAATATATTTAATTCAGTACAGTTAAAATCAATTTATTAGTTCCATGAACTAAATATTCAATGAACTTAAAAAGATTTGTAAACATTTGTACATCTCTGAAACATTTAAATGAGAGCTGTTAATATGATAATGCACGTTCAATGTATATGCAAATTCATGAAAATGTATGTGTGTCAGTAGCACATTTTGCATATGAATACATATGATTGCTTAGGAAATCATGTTGAGTTTGCCATTGTGTTTATGGGTTTCTCCTATTTGTCAGTGGAATGCATTGTCACCCATAAAAATATAATACTCTTAAATTTAATTCCTAATTAGTCATGGAAATTTAAATAAAATACGTTAAAAGATATTTCACGCAAATACACAAAGAAAAAATGGAAAAGCCTTCAACGTTCAACCACATTCAATGTAAATGATATGTGATAAAAAATGAATTAATCAGTAGCAGGACTTTGCTTTTTAAAATTTTTTTTTAGCTACTCTAAACCATAAATATGAGTAAGATGTGTTATAAATGTGTAGATGGTTATAGTGCAGAGGGTCATTTATTACTGAAAACTAATGTGAGGTAATGAAGGTGTCATGGTCAGTAATAACGTCCTGCAGTCTGGAGAGGACTACTGGAAGTTTCTGCACAAATTACCTGCTGGAAGGAAACATAAAAAGCTCCTTCGAGGGAACTTTGAAGGATAATGATGCTTCAGCGAAATTCTGCAATACATGGGAAGGCCATGGGGCATATTCAAGATCTTCTAGGGATGTACAAAAATCTATTTCTGATTAGAAAACTAGTATAATCAGCATAAATAACAGTTTTGTTTTATGAACCTCAAGACGTAGTGCCTTCTCATTATGTTACCCAGTGCACCAATGCACTAGTTTTCCTGTAAAGGCGCTCTTGTTGCAGCAATGATCCTTGCCTCTGAAGAGAGTCCTTGGGAAGGATGTTGAAAGCAAAGCGTGGAACTAATGGTGGTTGCACCAGTAATCCTCCAACA